CTCCCCCCCTTCCTTCCTCCCGTCCTTCTCCCCTTCCTCCGTTTATTTACCTCTCCGTTTACCCCTACTTCTCTTGAAATGCCGCCTGCTTGTGCCTCTTTCAAGTGACGTTTCGATTTTCCTTCTGTCCGCTCTGCACTGGTCCTCTCCTCCTCTCCTCCTCTCCTCCCCTTCTCCTCTTCTCTTTTCTCCTTCTCCTCCACCCGTTCTCCTCCTCTCCCTTACGGTAAGCACGACCAAGAACTGTGGCAAGAACTGTGACCACCTACGCGAGCGCTGATTGATCTGCGCTGTCCACCTTCTCAATTATCCATTCGAAGGCCCCCTTTTCATCCCTTCCAAAGTATGGCATACACTGAATAAATCGTCCTAGAAAAAAAAATAAAAAATCGTCCTAGACCGCTATACTCGCAGGCCGATCCATCTCACCACAACAGCGATGTCCCACAGGAAAGTCGTCGCGCAGAATTAGCGTCGCACACGACTTCCTTCCTCCCGCACTTCCTCTCTGCGCCGCGCACTGTCCCATCCAACAGAGGTAAGCACGCCTTCGCTCTTCTTTTTTTTCTTTTTTTTTTTTATCTCCGTCTTTTTCTCTAAGGGCCAGATCCCACTAGCCCCTATTGTTCGTTTCTGACCGTTGATCTTCGTAATCGAGGGTCAAAAATGAATAATCCAGGGTAGTGGGATCTGACCCTAATGCTCTGGCAGCATTTGCCAGAGCCACCGGTTCGTTCGGAGCAGCGATGAAGGCGCTGACCGAACAACTGGTTCGAACACTGAATGATAGAGCACCCCGAGGGGGAACAGAAGAGATGTGAGACTAAACGGGTGCTGCAGGGGAGGGGCTGTAGAGAAAGGTGCAAGCAGCCATGTACCATATTGTAGATAGCTAGGAGTAACCAGTGAGCAGGGTTAGGAAGTCTCCTCCTGGTAGGTCCCCGGTTACGACTGGGTTGTACAAGTGAAGTACGATAATAGACCCCGGAAGTAGTAAACAGGGCTGTATACTAATCTTGGCGGAAGGAGAAGGGTCCGGGAGGTAATAGTAGAAGGGGTTCAGCTACTGACAGGTGTTTAGGGGGGGGGCAGGTAGTCGGGGTAGTCAAGGCAGAAGTAGGAGGTAGTGACTGGATAGGCTGGTAGCGCACGGTACCGGGTGTATACTACGGTAGCAGGAGGGTAGGCAGTAGGACTAGTCCAGCGTCACCAGGGCCAGAAGCGCGGGAACTGGTTCGTTGTCTGGCGGGTTCAGACTGGCATGTATCTAGTGCATGAATCAGGCCTGGTGCGTAGGAAGTTAGAGGCACTGAGCCCATTTCGCAGCGGGAGCCCGTACCATCGGCTAGTGCATGTGCAAATTTGAATACTTGGCGCATGGGATGGCGCACACGTGAGGTTGTTGGAAGGAAGGGCTTGCCTACATGCACGCCAGGTAAGTTACAGGCGAGTCTAGTCGACGCGGGCCCAGTCAGTTGCAGCCTGTAAGGCCGCAGGCGAGCAGATGCGGAGGCTGTGCCAGATATATGACAGAGGGCAAGGCCAGAACGGCCCTTTGTGATGCCCAAACCTCACACCCAGCACGACTTCCTGATCGGAGTAGGATGTGGGCCTGGAAGTGCGACAAGGGGTGTGCCAAGGATTTTTGGGAAAGTGGGGGTGGAGTCCCAGGTCAGAACTGAGATCTCCGGTGGCAAAGTTCCAGGGGCATAGATGCAATAGGGCTAAGGGCGAGTTCCTTTCGGTCTGTTGGCATGCTATGTCGTGCAGCATAAGGCAGATGGCATGCGTGGTGCATTCAAGGCCGTCCGAGCCGTCTGTTTTGGCGGGCGGCGGCTCGGGGAGGGGTCTGCCCGGGATGGATGGGGCTCTGATGAGTCGGGCCCTTGGTGCCAGCCGCGTGGCGTCTGTCGTCGCGCGTTTGGGTTAGGCCTCCTGTTTTCAGGGGCTCGTCGGCTGCCGCGTTGTCGACAATTTCCGCAGGGCGTGCGGGGCCAGTACTCGGCGATGGAATTCCATGGGACAACTATGAGCTGGTGATACGGGAGAAGAAGGCGAAAGGGAGGGAAGTTGGTAGCGATAACGACGAAGCCGGGGGATATGAAGTGGTGCGAGTTGTCCGAAGTGGGAAAACCGGGACACCTCGGATCGCTGGTCGTAGCACAGTGAAACTCCCTAGGGCACAATCGATTCTCGGTTAGGCAGGGGAATTCCGGACATCTCCATCTGAGACACTCGCTCACCCAAGGGTTGAAATACTCTGGATCCCACGACGAGTCTGAGTCCCTCGAGTGCGTCATCTTGTCATCGTGGTGTGATGGAATCCTCCCGCACGCGTCTAATCGGCAGGGGGAATTTCCGATGTGATATAGGAAATTCCTATCCGTTTAGGTGCGTGGGGGAAGGAAAATTCCCGCCTGCCCGATGTCAACGGTGTCAAGTTCGTCAATGGTTGCGAATCGGCGCGCATGGATACGTGTAGGCTGCGCAGATCAGATCGCACTTACATGCATCCCCGTGAGGTATTCGCTTATTTCCAGACAAACAGCTACCCAATCATCTAATCACTCCGTGACCCCATACGCAATCGTTCTCGAGTATGCAAGGTGCAGCGACAGCAGTAGTTCAAAAGAGGATAGACGACAATGAAAGCAGTATTGATGACTACGCAAAAATTCCTATTATGCTCATGAGGGACCGACAAGCAAGGCAAGGATCGGGCAAAAAGACACACAACAGACATGTCATTCATTCATTCGACAAAACACACAACAAACAAGATCGAAGTCGCAAAACAAGTGTGAGTTGAAACCAAGCAAAAATTCCGAAAACCAAGGAAAACGGGCAAATCGCCCAGAGCTGAGATCAAAATTTATATACAAACTTGAAAGCAAAGAGGGAGAAAAGCCAAAGAAAACTGCAAATCCACGTCCATCAACCTCAACTCCCTCTTCCTCTCTCTCTCTCTCCGATGCGGACAGTCCGTCGTCGCGCACCAACCCACAAAGTCGTCACCCCGCTTAGTCCTCCTGCACCCGTCAGGTTCGCCCGCGCCCACAGTCTGTCGTGGCCCGCGTCAACCCCGCGCGTTTGGCACCAGCTCGTCGGGTCGCCCGGCTCCCACTTCAACTCACCTCTTACTTTGCTCGTGAGCCGACCCTCACTGATCGTGCTACCCCGAGCTTCCAACAACTCGTTAAGAGAGCTATCTAATCGCGCAGCCGGAATTTATAATGTGCATGCATGCGCGAAGAACACGGAATTACAAGGACTTAGAAAGGAGATTAGGAGAGGGATCGCCTACGCTCTGCATGGCCAGACCGCGGCGTGGGGGACTTGGCCTCTCTCCACGCATCGATCTGAGCATGCAGACCGCGGGTTGGCTAGACACCGCAAGAGAAAGCGAGAGCGGGAAAGACGAAGTTCAAGAAGAAAAATACAGTTATAATAGCGCCCGTCCAAAATTACAGTTACACACACGATTAAGGGCGCCGACTAATCAGAGTTCCGTTGCAGCTGCAAAAAGGAGCGCGTAAGCAAAAAGTGTTGCGCGACAAAAGAAAGTCCTAATTACAAAATTCCTAAATTCCTATCTCATGCAGAAAAACGAAGAGCACAATTTCCGAAAAGAGAGTCTGAAGTTTCGATGGTCATCGGGGCTCGACAAGATTCAAAAAAAAAGGAAAGGAAAATTCAAAAACAACGAAGCAAAAATTCCCGCGCGGCCTTCCGCGCCTAAAATCCGACAACATCACAAAAAAGAAGAGGCGTCAACCCTTATTAATCGCGCCCGGTTGGCGTGACTGCCAATCAATCATCCCGAGACTTACCCGGCCCTGAATCCAGCCATCCGAAAAAAAGCGACGAAAAAAAAAAAAAAAAGGCGAGGACAATGATGCAATTTCCCATCAATCCCAGTCTCCCGTAATTGGCCCATCCTTCCTAGCTTAGGACCCCCCCATTATCATCGCGTAGAAAGTTACGCGGAACATAAATCGGTTCGTCACATATGTGACGCCCAGTGGGTTTCAATCTTAAGCAAGCTCCTGCTTGCTTGAATCTTGACACGTGTCGATCTCTCTAATCGATCGACACGCGGAGCTTTCTATGTTGTCATTTACTGTGTGAAGGAGTGTGGACGTCATCCAACGTGGCATACAGGCTCTGTCCTACAAATTCCTCAGGAGGACTCTCGTCAATCCAAGGAGGGGATTATTCATGCCATTGTCGTGGCACGCACACCAATCATCCGATCATCAATGTCCGTCGGGGAGGGGAAAGGGGAGACGATGCATGGGGGCATGGCGAGGGGGAGGGTTAATCAGGATCGGGGGTAAGAAGCTTTTCACCCTCGCCACCGTTTTCGAAAGCTGCTGGTATCAAACAATTCGGTGGAAACGGGGAAAGCGATTACCACTGTGGGGGAGGGAGGCGAGGTAATGGGGATACAGAGTGGCGAAGGTCCGGAAGAGCGCCGCGCGAAAATGGTCGTAGTTCTTGCATGCGGGGATAGTCCCCATAATCATGCAATAAACTTCGACGATATTGTGACCTCGCCACGCGGCACTAAGGAGAAGGGCGTGAAGGTAGAAGTCGGGGAGGGCGCACCGGGTCGAGGGATGGGGGTGAACTGTAACAACGAGGCAGGTGGCGTAGAAGAAACGGAAGGTATCGATGGGGAAGGGGTTACGGGGGAAGGTGACACGGGTGGTGATTTGGCGGAGGGTGAGATGGTCAAAGGGACAGCGGGATAACGACCGGGGACGAAGCCCGATGACCCACATCAGTACAGGCTCGAACTGGTGGACGGTCGGAGGCGGAGGGGAAGGGGGATCGGCTTCGTCGCCGCCTTGTCGGTGCGGTCGAAGTCTCGGCCGCTGGGTCTCCATCTTCGGGCTTAGGCGGCTCCGGATCTCGGGTCGGATCGTCGACGATCTGCAAATTTGTTCCGCTGGCGAAATCCAGCTGTCGCTTTCCAGCTGCGATCTCCTCTCTTTTGCGCGCCGCCTCGGGGTCTTCTGATTGCGCATCCGTTTGTTCCGCTTCGTCCGCCGATATCTCCCACTCAGACTCTTTCAGCTCTAGCTCCTCTTCTTATTCTTCTTTTGCTGCCTCACTCTGCTCCCCTTCGCTGTGCTCACTATAACTCCCCTCTTCCAGTGTCTCCTCCTCGTCATCCTCCTCATCCGCCTCTTCTTCTTCTGCGCCTTCTTCTTCTTCTTCTTCGATCGATAACTCCTCGTCTTCGGAGATGGTTCGATCTTGGAAGAAGGCGAGATCGATGATTTCCCGCGGGTCCAGATATCCCTACTGCGATGGCGGGTTGCGGCCGCTTCCCGGCTCCTCCAAGTACGCCGACCACTGAAGATACGGCGTCAGCGTCCGTGTGAGGACGTGCGGAACCGGGCTCTCGTCGCTCTGCGAGACGATCTCGACAGGGAGATCGTCAACCAACTACGCGAGAGAAACTGTGAGATCCTGCACGATTAGTTGGCGATGTCCGGCGATAATCTGGCTAACCCTTGCGCACGATCTTAGTAGGCCGCGCGCATACCCAAGGCACATATAACTATATACATAAGGCT